TTTTCTCCAGGCTAAACAACCCCAGTTCCCTCTATGTGCACCTTATTTCCAGTCTGAATTTCCCTGCCTTCAGCTTGTAGCCTCTTTTGTTATACCATTGCTTGCGGAAGAGTCTCGTGTTACCAGACTTCCATTCCCCATGGAAGTACTTGCACTGCTCATCCTTGAACTCGCAGTGTGAGCATTTGCAAACAGTGGTATGGCACAAAAGAAAGGAGGAGAAAAGTGCTGCTCATTGCTTCTCTCCCCCACGTCACTGGTCCAGAGCAGAGAGGTGACATAACCTTCTCAGCCCTGTGGTGTTATGTCCCATTGAAAACACATACCGCAATAATCCAAAGGGTTTTGGTGTCTCTCTAGGAGCTCTTCTTCAGATGTCTTTTTCTGGACATCTGAAAAAATCCAGTCATTTTCAAAATCACTGCTCCCCAGAATAACATGCCCCTTGACTGTGAGTTTCTCAGATACCACAAAGATGCCTTCAGTGTCAGGAGCTAGACTGACAGTCTCCCATGGAGATATTGATGTGCACTACAACCAAATAAGCAGCCCTTGAGATAAGGCCTACTTAAGCACCTGTATACCTAGCCATCTCTCCGTACCCAGCTGGGAATCTCCATATTTTTGTTATGCTCAAAATCTTGTTACGGGCAAAAAGGAAACACATATGTAAAGCCAAGAATTTATTATTACTATGTATGAAATCTTAACAGTTTAATCAAAGAATTATGATTAGTGAAGATCAAATTATTACAGACATAAAAAGAAAAAGGAAATAATTATTACAGAAAAAGTTTCAGTAACAATACAGTTAAAATTGTTATACACGTACTAGTTTCTACCCATTTTCCTGGTGTTATGCTCACTCTTCCACTAAAATTGCTGCCTTCCACCTTACAGGAAGGTACAGTGAGTCATTTGCATTCCGAGTCCTCCATCGGGAGGAGTATGATGGTGGCAATGGGTTCTTCTTCCTTAACCAAGGACGTACCAGGAGTCATTTTGATTATGTTGGCTAAAACACTTTCATATCTTGCTCTTTTTTTCCTTGATCAGAAGGTGCAGGTCCACGTCACATGGGATTTTACGGTGTATGGTGCATTTTACATTGGTTTGATATTTGCTCTGTGTTCTCTTTGCTATTCCTAAAGATGATTTTGTCCACCTCTAGGTCTGAGGACCTAGTCATCGGTTGGACTCGATGATCTTAGAGGTCTTTTCCAACCTCAATGATTCTATGATTCTATGATTCTATGCATTTCTTTGACTGTTGGTGAGTTGTTTATAGACGACGGGTCTCTAATGCCAAGCCAGCGCCCCACCTCGTATCACCCCATGCCAGCATTCCTCTCTGCCACGTCCTGCGCTTCCATTTCTTGAGGCCTCTGCTGCCGTACCAGGTCTGTATTTCTTTACATCGGAGTGGTAAATAGCTCATTCTACATACAACAACTCCTTGTTACGGCTCTCTATGTAAACTTACAGTTGCACCATACAATGATAAACAAAAGTAAAGCAAATTAGGCATAGCCGCCTGGCCAACTAGGAACGCTGCTGTTACAGCTGAGCAAAGTAAAAACAAAGCTGAAGGCAGGTCAAGACAATTCCAGACAAAGCACGCCCAATAAGCCTCAGCCCTGAGGACTTGCAAACTCAATTAAAAGAGTGTGGCCTATCAAGAACAATGCCAGTATTGTGTTTACTGGCCTACTGAGCTATATCGTCATCTCTTGCAATTGGGAGCCAATGTTTTGTCTTCCGTGCACCTTTCTGGTGACATGACTTTAGCTCCACCAGCCAGATATGCTTCGCTCACCTTCCCAATCCCAGCAATGGCTTGGTTTCAAGCATTTTCAGCATCTCTGCCCATGACTTATACTCTCACTGTCCATGACTGCAGTGGTATTTTTAGTGTCGTTCTCTGAGATGACGATATAACACAATAATCTGGCTCCTGATGTATTTGTTTTTAAATGCTCTTTGACATGATAATTTTGTGATGTTCTGGGCCATGACTGCACCGCTTATCAACCAATGCAGGGTAAGGACAGGGTAGTCTGAGCCCAGTAACTCACATCTGAGAAAGAGCAGTGCTGTGCAGTGAAAATCTGTGAACGCTGTATTTCTTTCTGAGTTTTGCCAGTACGTAATTAATGTTGGTTTCCTGTGCAGAAGTACTGACGTACATAAACTTCTGGACAGTGGATAGGAAATGTCTAGTATTTTTTCTATCCCTAACAATTGAGTGAGTAGCCGGGTATTTTGACCACGTCCTAATAAACCCTCCAGTTACAACAATGCACAATAAATGCGGCTCTCTTCGGCTTTGTTTGGAGAAAGAAGATAAAATAGGGTTTGTCACAAGTGCCTATGGACAGAGATGAGGAAATGCTTATCCACATATCTGGGCTCCAGCTTTGCTTTCAGGGAAACTTCAGTTTCTTCAGATTGTAGAAGAAAGTTATCAGCTACGGTAAAGTGCCCTGGGCTTCTGGATGTAACAAACATCATTCAGTTACGCAATGAAAAGCAGGGAGGTGGCCATGACGGAACCCAGTGGCCACAAAGTGGCCTGTCACCATTGCATTTTACCAGCGCATGACAAATCACTCGTGTTAGGTCTTAGCACTAGCGCAGCAAGAACGTGAAGTGCCCACTTCACGTCTTGGCGCTCGTGCATGTCCTGGGACTGGTAAGAATATTTGACACCCTTCTTTCCCCATGGGGTTCATTCAGGATTTTTAATGGTCCTCTCTGTTGCAGTCGGTACCTGGAGTACAGATGGGTTCATGTACTCATGGGTTCATGAATGATACCTGGATTTAGACAAGGGGTCTTTGGCTTGGAAAAGAGCTACCAGGGTGGACACAGGGCTATGTAACATAGATGGTGCGGAAAAGGTAGACAGGGAGCAGTCTCACTACTGCTCGTCTATGAGAACAAGGGGTCTGAATGAAACTGTGAGGCGGAGGGTTTGAAAGAGAAACAAACTACCCTTAATGAAGTGGCAGCATTAAGCCTAAAAGGCTGGGAGTGTGAATAAAATAAAAAGAAAATGCTGTGAAGGCTGGGAATGTGAATAAAATCAACTTGCAATAAGACATTTTGGTGGCGTTTCACTGTTGGTTACCATACACAGTGGTCCTGATGCAGCCCCTGGGCCAGCAAAACCTGAGACTGCTGACTGCCAGAACTGGCAGATAAAAAGGGAGAAACTCCATGTACCACCCTTGTGCAGCAGAAAGCCAAAAACATATCACACACCTCTGGGGACTGAGCTCTCGGCACGGTTCACAGGTAGAGGACACTGCAAAGCACACACTGCCAGCTAATGCAAGCCTGCAGCTCATTTTCGAAGTCCTTCCATAGCCAGGGATGTGGTTCATCCAGCCACCTCCATGCCAGTGCAGCACCCTGACCACTTGCACAATGTTGTTCCAGCAAAGGAATTCTATTTGAGCAACCTGGCAGCTGTGCGTGAATCCAGAATTGCAGTTCGTTCCAAACTTGATCTCATTTTGGCAATGGGAAGCAATGCAAGACAGGTGAAAATCGTTGCAGAAACATCTGCCAGACTTTGCAGCATGCCGGAAAATAATGGTTTGTGCTCCGGTGATCTCAGTGGGTACATCATAAGATCACAGGAAACCCAGATTGGAACAGGGAACTCGGGAAGTGTCTAATCCAAGTTCCTGATCAAAGCTCTCAGCTGTGAGGTCAGCCCAGGTTTCTCAGGACTTCATCCAGATAAGTCATGAAAACTTCCAAGGATGGAAATTGTACCACCTCTCTTGGAAACCTGCTTTTATGCATGTGCTATACAGAAGACTTTAAATCACATCTTTATTGATGATTTCAGATACCACAAGCAGGGTGATAATTGGAGAAGGACATTTTTGTTGGTAGACCTTGAAAAGGGGATTATAGAAAAACGCGGAATCAGAACAGGATGGACAACATAAAAATGTAGGAGCCCTTACCAACATACAAGCAATTGCAGATGATGCTCTAGAGGATTGAAGCAAGGGTGAGTCATTCCACTGAATTCCAAATTCAGGCCAGAACGGTTACACAAATCACCCAACCTTCCCAGTAAAGATAGTTTCGTACCAGTGGAGTTGGTAGAAGGAACGTTGATGGCAGGCTACTGCCAGTGGGGGATAATGGGAAATGTCTTGCACATCTGCTGCAAGACTGACGGCAAAAGCTAACTCATCTCACTGTATAAACAATACTGAAAGGTGGAACTGGAGTTTGGAAATAAAATAAAATGAAATAAACAAAATAAAATAAAATAAAATAAAATTAAATTAAATTAAATTAAATAATAAACTTTATCAGAGGACAGGTGCACTATAAACTTTAGTGATCACTACAGTTTTAATACAACATTCTTTTTATTCTGCTCAAAAGGGTGCAGAAAGCAAGAGATTTTAGCCTCTCTGGATCAGATCTCTGGCCCAGGAAGTTTAGTCTCCTGCCTCATATTTTGGACACAGAAGTGTCTCCTTAATTTCTTGTGTACAAAGAAGGACATCTAGACAGCACAAAGAGCCAGCACAAAACTGTGGGGTGGAGAGGACCTGCCACATAACTGAATTTCATCTGAGAAGACTGGCTAATTCAGCTATTCTGCTGCTTGACACCTGGGGAAAAAATGCTCTAAGGAGGTATGGAAGGCTCTTAGCGCAAGGTTTTTTGCTTTAAATACACTTCATACAGCAGAATTTTTTAGTTCAAAACCAACCAAACCAGCAGAGCAAAGAAACTCCGCAGTTAATTTTGTGGGAGTTGTTGAAGAGTCAATTCAAAAATTTTTGTCGAGACTTCCTGAGTTTTCCTTCTCTCTTGGTCGTGGGAAAAGGGCGGGTACTAAAAAAACAGCTTCTGGGAGCTGTTGAGGGTTGTCCATGAGGCATCCAACAGAAAGGTGGGCTGGCAGGGGGTTTATTCTCTTCTTCATTGGATTCTTCAGCATGAAAGACCTCCCCATGAGCTCCTCACAGTCTAGTCCAGAAGAGGGCACAAAGGGAACTTGCAAGCATCCCAACTGGCACAAAGCTGATCCTCAGACTAGCTGCGCCATCAGTGTTGCACAAGTCAGAGTAACAGCAGGAGACGAGGTGCGTCACGCCAATCTCGTCCACGTCGGATGAGGTGCAGACAGAAAAGCGCATCTTGGTGACCGTCAAGACTCTCGTGAAGGGATAAGCTACAACAAAGCAAGAAAGAAGGAACAGTTAGGAATGGGAGGAATGGAGAACTCTCCTCGTCCGTAGTGAAGCATTAGCTGCCTTCACCACCAAAGTCTTAGCTCCAGTTCAAATACAATTGGTCTACTTCCTACCGGGAATATAGGAAAGAGTTCCCACTGAGTGGCTGCAAGCTGAACAGCACCTTGCATCCTCTGTGTCCTGCCTGGATCAGCTTTACCCTGCACAAGGTCAGTTAGGCACTTTTTCTGCCTCTGCTTTGACTCTACTGGCTATCTCCTGCCTCTCCCATGTGCGACCAGAGCCTTATCAGCAGGACCGTGCAAAAGAGAGAGCCTCCATCTTCACAGTGCATTTCTTTATTTGGACAGGTAGGGTCCTGTAGTGACCTGTAGGGTCACCAGTCAGACTGACAATGCCTTCCTGAGAGCTCCAGAGAAATCAACAGCATTTCTGGTTTGCCTCCAAATGACCAGAAGTTGGTGTCCTCACCTTACTAAGCTTGGCTCATCTCCACTCGCCTCTCTACTCCACCCAGCTTTCATAAATAGTTCTCGGGTCAGGAGAGAACTGTTTAACCCACGCCCATCGTGCGAGTCACGCAAAGAGTCTGGAGAGTCAGGACTCTCTAGCTCCATGCCTCGAGCTCAAGTCAACACGTTTTTTCTAACCATGCTCAACACTGAGCATTAACTATGAGCTTGCAATCACTAAGTATTCACTCACATGAAGACTGCTTTCCGCAACAGCAGGAGACTGCTCTCTTCCAGGCTTATATATTTAAGTGAGAAAAGGTACTGCTCCCACACCAGCAGTCTTCACTGTAGAAACACTGACTCGTGAAAAATATGGATAAGGAAGTAATTGCTCTTACCTTCCTCCAGGGAATACATAGTGGTCTTACACGTGGTTTCATTCTTCGTGCAGTTCTGGATCGTCAGGCACTTACCAACAGCAGTATGTTCAAGGCAAGTGTAACATTGCAAGGTTTGGGCTGCAAGGAGAAAAAACATGAGGTTGGGCTCAGTGTGGACTACCAGATTCTTGTCCGTGCCCCTCCAGGTACCTCTGGGGAGGGTATCTCTCCAAATTACTCATACTGAGAACAGGAATGGCATAGTAAAAGGTATTTGTACCAATGGGAATGAGAAATACAGTAGTCCAGTGGTCAAAGAACAGCCTCAGATGTGGGTTCAGACGCCCTGTAACAAGTCAAGCAACACAGAGCCACACACACAGAAGACCCCATGATACAGGAAAGTCCTATCAACACCAGGGTGTTGAATGTTTGGGGCACAAAGACGGTCCTTTTGCTCTTCCTTTGTTATTGGGGGTTTGGTAGGTTGGCTTTTTTTGCAGATAGGTCTTAAATAGTCCGCAAGAGAGTATAAAGGTAATTTTACTTAATTTTTGGATCTGCACCCTAGAACATGCAGTAAATATGGGCTGAATGTGCTGGGACATCCCAGCTCCAACAAAAATGATGAGGGTGATAAAAAAAATATCAGGAGTAAAGTAATGAAAATAGCAAGGAGGAGACGTTTGACCCACCTACTTCTTCCTTACCACTGTGGGGGTAATTGGGTTGCCTACGACAGGGCCGACTGTTCTGTGCAGTGGCTGGAAGCCAGCAGATGGAATTTGCAAAATGTGACATCTCAGGGCCTGAATTCTTTGAAGATATTGCCCCGCGTGCCAGCAGACAGCTAAGACATGCAGGGACCCAGGAGAAGTCCAATACTTCAATTGTGCAATTAGCAAAATATTTTTATTTTAATCATTATCACAATTAGTCAATAGGACCTGCTTCACATGTTTATGCCAGGTATCTAACTGTTCTGCTTCCCAGCCAACCACATCCCCAAGCTCCTTTAATTTGTGTTATTCCCACAGGAGAGTAAACACGCAGCTGGTTTACCTCAACTCTGTTCTCACTTTGCATCTGCTTTTCTCCTTGCCTTTGCATTAGTAGAGCATCAGAAAGAGATCATAGACTCACAGACTCACAAACTCACAGAATCACAGAATGGTTGAGGTCGGAAGGGACCTCTGGAGGTCATCTGGTCCAATCCCCCTGCTCAAGCAGGACCACCTAGAGCCAGTTGCCCAGGACCATGTCCAGCTGGGTTTTTAATATCTCCAAGGATGGAGACTCCACGACCTCCCTGGGCAACCTGTGCCAGTGCACAGTAACAAAGTGTTTCCTGATGTCCCATCTCTCTCAGCTTTTCCTCAGAGGAGAGATGCTCATCTTTGTGTCCCTTCTTTGGACTCTTTCCATGTCCATGTCTCTCTTTTACTGGGGAGCCCAGAACTGAACACAATACTCCAGGTGTGGCCTCACCAGTGTTGAGCAGAGGATCACCTCCCTTGACCTGCAGGCAATACTTCATCTAATGCAACCCAGGATACCATTAGCCTTCTTTGCCGCAAGGGCACATTGCTGGCTCATGTTCAACCTGGTGTCCACCAGGACCCCCAGGTCCTTTTCAGCCGAGCTGCTTTCCAGCTGGATGGCCCCCAGAACTCCAGGTGTGGCCTCACCAGTGTTGAGCAGAGGATCACCTCCCTTGACCTGCAGGCAATACTTCATCTAATGCAACCCAGGATACCATTAGCCTTCTTTGCCGCAAGGGCACATTGCTGGCTCATGTTCAACCTGGTGTCCACCAGGACCCCCAGGTCCTTTTCAGCCGAGCTGCTTTCCAGCTGGATGGCCCCCAGAATATATTGGTGCATGGGGTTGTCCCCAGGTGTCTGACTTTGCACTTCCCCTTGTTGAATTGCATGAGGTTCCTGTCAGCCCATTTCTCCAGCCTGGCAAGGTCCCTCTGGATGGCAGCAAGACCCTCTATCAGCCTCTATCATGACCCTCTATCAGCCACTCCTCCCAGTTTTGTGTCATCCACAAACTTGCTGAGGGTACGCTCTGCCCCATCATCCAGATCATTAATGGCAATGTTAAACAGGACCGGACCCAGTATTGATCTCTGAGGTACACCTCAAGTTACTAGCCTTCAAGTAGACTTTGTGCCAGTGATCACCACTCCCTGGGCTCGGTCATTCAGCCAGTTTTCAACCCACCTCACTGGCTGCTCATCCAGCCCATACCTCAACAGCTTGCCTGTGAGGATCTTATGGGAGACAGTGTCAAAGACCTTCCTGAAGTCCAGGTAGACAATATCCACTGCTTTCCGCTCATCTACCCAGCCAGTCATTTCATCATAGAAGTCCATCAAGTTGATCAAGCATGACCTCCCCTTGGTGAAGGATCTGCATACAAAGAGAAGTCAGACTTGAATGTGAGTTGCAGCAGCGAGAATTTCATCTGGTGCTGTCCACTGTGTCGGCTCTTTCCAAAGACTGGGAGTTCTCGGGTAGGAGAGTGTCCCAGAGAGAAGGAACTGTCTCTATCAAATTTACTGAGCCGTGAGAACAAATTAAGCACAACCCTTCCCCTTTGCTGAGATTCTAGTTTCGTGAGAAGAATGTGTAAAAAGTTATTTTAAAAAGGTGACAGCGGCCATAATAATAGACTCCCTGGGACATGTACCGCTCTAGACACAGACCATAAAAACAGACTTTGGAACCCGAGTCCCCAAATCCAGTCCAAGGTAGCTCACCCTGCCTCATCACTCACCAGTTCCTAGATGCTCTTTATCACCTCTCTGTTGAGCTGCAAAGACCTTTGCAAAGCCTGCAGGCGCCAGTTAGCTCCTAGACATGCAGAATAACCACAGCGCAAGCCCTTCAGTGCCTACAGTCTTTCGAGATAAAGAGGTTTTAGAGAGAGACACTGAAAAGCCCAGATTGTTGTGATGCGGTATTTCCAGAGCACTCCAAGCTAAAGATATCAAGTCAAAATAGCATCTGGTATTTCCTATCACCAAGGAAGCCATTTCTGGACAAGATTTTCAGGGCACTTTGCTCTCTGCAGGTCTTTCTGAGGAACCCAACCCCTGATCTAGGTCCTCTTTTCCACCCCCCAGCCAGACATGTGAATTTGTGCGCCTTACAGGCGTAGCAATGCATTTTGGTACCATCACAGACCAGCAGCCACTCCTTGGTCTATCTGGAAAGCAGTTCTCACCCCATCTGTGTGACAGCCCTGCTGAAATCCCTTTAAACCCCATTGAAAAAGAAAAACAGTTCAGCTCATCTCAGCACGCCTAAAATGGGGTGTCATAACAGCAGGCTCAGGCAAGCAAGCCACCTTATGAAAATAGATAATGCAATGTCACCCTAACTAGTAAGCCAGAAAGAGCCCTTTTATAAACAGACCCAGCAATTACCTCGCTTTTATTCAAAGCTCACTTTATTATTCTCTTTTGCTCATTGTGAACTGATGTTTTGTTTGCATCAATTCTATGTCTGACAGCTGTCAAATACATCTTTAGGGAGGAAGCTTCATCATTTGTCTCAGATTTCATGATACTCATCACTGGACAAGTCAAAGCCACAGCATTTATGTTCCTCTTTGAAAAAAAAACCCACGCCACAAAATAACCAATCAAAAGACCTAAAATTAAGAGAGCATTGTTCCCAATATGTGCAAACCCAGTATTTTCATTAACCTTACTGAGACTAACAGGTTCAAACACAGCCAAATATGTTAAATAGCAGCTAGAACTATGAGTTTTGGGGTTTTTTTGAGATGGAAAAGATAGTGTATCAGGAAGCGTTTAACACAGTTAAATAACCAAAAGCTGGAATGAAACTACTTTTGCTAATGAGGCAGCTCTTCAGCAGCAATAGTCAGCTGGCACCTCACAGAGCAGGGAAGTAACACCATGACTTGGAGACTTAAAGACCTGTATTCCAAAAGCCCTGTTTTAAGCAAGCCTTGGAATATCTATCTGGCCTATTTGTGAAAGGTAGATATGGATTTGATGGGTGGACTGTCCGGTGGGTGAGGAATTGGTTAGATGGTCACATCCAGAGGGTAGTGGTCAATGGCTCAATGTCCAGAAGGAGGTTGGTGACGAGTGGCGTCCCTCAGGGGTCCGTATTGGGACTGGTACTGTTTAATATCTTCATCAATGACATAG